TAAAATCTGCTGTCTTTCCAGCACACTGTAATCATCGACTTGTGTCAAAAGGGCTGGCTTCCCTCCCAGCTTCTGCCTTGGAGCCAAACCACTGCTCCAGTTTTTGATATAAATCCTGAAAATTATTTAGCAGCAGCAGCAGCTCTTTTTCAAAAGCCAACAACACCACTGCATTTTTGCCTAAAGGAAACATTGCTCTTTCTGGACAACTTTTCCTCCATTTTCCTCTAAGGCAGCACTGGGAGATCTCAGGACCGTGCCTCTAAAATATTCATGTGACGGCTATTCATTATTCATGTAGGCTCACAATGCTTAATTCAACGGTACTGCCAGCCTCAGCCTGACAAGCAGACCCATTACGAAACCCCCCACAAAGCACCCCTGCAAGAACACCAAGACAATTTTGCTCTGTGCACAACTGCAGCTGCTTGAACCCCCTTCTTTCCAGCCATACTCAGAAGCATGTTGGCACCACAGGAACAGGCAGACCCCGCTCCACAAAATACCCCATCTTTTAGTGAAGGTCTTGGTCACCTCTAGAAAGAGCAGCACCCTGGGGAGGCTCTGAAGCAGGGCTGCTTGGTGGAAGCTGAGCCCTGAGAAGGCACTGGTCCTGCTGGGGCCCTCAGGCAAGTTTTTTAGACTCCCTTTCTTCTACCAGACCTATGAAGATAAAATCGCCTCCCTGCCTGGCAGGGTGGGGGAAGGTTAATTAGAGAGAGCTGCCTGAGTCTTTGAAGGTGCAAAGCGCTGGGCGGGAAGCCCAGCTCCCAGTTTCTCCAGCTCCTGGAGTCCCAGCTCTGCCTGGACAGGCTTGTCCCCGCTGCCCACCGCTGCCTGCACCGGCGCCCCTCCACACGGGCAGGGGTGGCCCCATGGTGGCATCCCCCAGGCCAGGGCGTCGAGCGGAGGATGCCACCCCAACACCGCCTCTGCCCACCTTGGCTGGCAGCATGGTGGGCTCACCAGTGCCCCGCGCAGCCCCACCAGCCCAGTGAGACCCCCACCAGGGTGCCGTGACCCCCGAGGGAGGGCTTTGCACCCCTGGCCGCCGGCTGCTCTTCTAATTATAGCTGCAGGCGCAGGAAGCGCCGGGGCGGCCTGTGCAGGAAGCGGGGTGTGCCGCCCTCGGTGACTGAAAAACAACAGCGGCGGAGGTGTGCCGCCAGTGCCACGGCCCCCCCAGCAGCACAGCCCCGACCCCGGGGCTGTCCCTGGGCTGCGGCACCCTGAGCTGCACCGGCATGGCCCTCAGGGCACCCAGAGGGATCCAGAGCTGTCCCCGCAGGGACACCCTGCAATCCTCACACCCATGGCCCGTGTCCCCACAGCCCTGCCGGGGCAGGGCAGCCGGCAGGATGGGGTGCTGCTCCCCTCTGGAGAGGCGGGAGGGCAGCAGAGGCGGAATGAGGCATCCATTAAGGGCTGATAAGGACCCTTCTTTCTCCCTGAGCTGGAGATGCTGTTCCCTGCCCTGCCGACTCATCTGAGGCTGCCTCAGCTCCCGGCAGCAGTCATCTGCAGCCACTGCCGGTGAGATCTGGACGACGGCCGGTGGGGCTGGGGGCTGTGGCACCCTGCCTGTCCCCATCGATGGCCCACGTGGCCCAAGTGCCACTCAGCCTTTCCATTTCGTGGAAAATCCTGACAGTTCAGCATTTCCTTTGTCCCGGTTTGGAACAAAGAGCCGAAACTTCGGTGTTTAGCATAGTTACAGAGCCTCTGAAATACTTTGTTTTGGAAAATACTGAAATGCCGGTTTGAAATGTTTCGCTTTGACTGTGTCACTTTGGCTGCTGCGGCACAGAGAGCTCCGTTGCTATCTGAGAGGAGAAAGCCTGGGATGTTTTCATATGCTGACAAAATCAGTACATTCCCATTACTTATTTTGATCTTGTCGTATCAACTTTTCCCAGCATCTTTTCCCGCTTCTCTCCCTAACCAGACACCCACATCAGCTCCAGTTCCAGCTGCTGGGCACAAAAGCCACCCCCAAAGCCGGGCTGCTCTCTGCAGGGTGCTACCCTCTGCCATCGGGCAGGCCCCAGCACCTCCCCATGCTGTGGCTGGGCACCCAGCATGGGCAGCCTGGCATCCCCCTCCGACAGAGGCGGTGCCTGCCTGCACCCCAGCAGGGCAGCATGCACCCCAGAGTCTACGGACCCGTGGTGGGGTGCAACCACAGGCTCTGGTACAAAGGAGAGTGGCCAGGGGAGGGGAGAATGGAGCGGGGCAGGGAGGGGGGTCTGCCAAGGGCCAAGCGTGGCACTCACCACGCTGCCGGCGCGGGGCAGGCTGGGCCGCGGGGGAGAGATGGTATCTTACAGACTTTCCCACGGCTCGCACAAGCTTTCCAGGTGCGCACACGCAGGCAGGTGATGCTCGGTAGCTGCTGGGGTATTGCATAAATAGAGAGCAGGCTGCTGTGCTTCCCCCAGGGCTACTGGGTTGTGCAGATAAGCCCCCAGCGTGCATGTCCTCCACATCACGGGTGCTGCCGGCTTTGCAGGCGGGGAGGGAGCCTTGTGCTCGCTGGGAACCGGGCAGCATGCCCCAGCCCCACAGGGAGGGCTCCCCTCCCACTGTGCAGCAGCTTCTCCTCCTGGAAGTGAAATACAGACATACAATGTCACAGGAATAGCCCCACGCTTGGGGCAGGTGCTTCCTGACTTTACCCAAGCACTGCAGCACAGCTTCTCAGCCCAGCACAGGACTAGGAGGGGTCAGCATTTCGTTTGGGAATTGTTGTCATGGGCCACCACTACTGGCAACATGTGCTTCTGTTGCTGAAGCGCGTGGTGGTTCTCCATGCCCTGAACTGAAGCAGCCACTGCACAGCAGGAAGGAGATGGCCCTGAAGCTAATTGGGCCTATTAATGAAGCGAGGAAGTCTGCAACTGTCTGGCATACCAACTGGTGAGCAAGCATGGTGAGGAACTGAGCTAAGACAGTTTCCATCCTCAAGCAGGGCTGTAACCACAAAACACCTTCCCTGCAGCTGCACTTCCAGCCAGCCGGGAAGCAGCTATGTCAGGGGTGCTGCTGCTCCCCAGCCAACACCTTGAGACCCCAATGGGTGTCTGAGGAGCTTACAAGGAAAACTCCGCCCTGAGAAAGCAACGCAGAAATGGAAGTGCTGCTGACTTGGGGTGGGCAAGGGGGTTGGAGCTCCTCTTCACCTTACACGCCACTGGGGTTTGCAGATAGGTATGCCCCAGGGCTGTCAGAGAGACACGGGGTTCAGCAGCCTGTGCTGGGAGCTGGGGTCTTCATTCCCGAACATGGGCCACTTTAATCAGGATGGCAGAGCTCAGCGTGGCTCTGCAGACACCTCTGTGGGAGTCATTATCAGAAGTGTATGTCTACTGGTGCCAGCCCCCTCAGCACTAACCTCCCTCTGGAGGCAGCACTGCAGGGAGGCGTGGGGGGCTCCTTGCCTGCACCGTCCCACCTGGAGCAAACATAAGCCACCAGCCTCAGACCCAGGACAGCCCACAGCTGGAGGCAACAACAGCTCTGGTAAGGCAACTCCCCCTTCCACGGAGGGGGCTGCACCTTCCACCAGCCCAGGTTGCACAAAGCCCTGTCCAACTTGGCCTTGAACATTGCCAGGGAGGGGGCAGCCACAGCTTCTCTGGGCAACATGTTCCAGTGTCTCACCACCCTCATAGTGAAGAATTTCTTCCCTGTATCTAATCTAAATCTCCCCTCTTTCAGTTAAAAACCGTTACCCCTCATCCTGTCACTACACTCCCTGATAAAGAGTCCCTCCCCATCTTTCCTGTAGCCCCCTTTAAGTACTGGAAGGCCACTATAAGATCTCCCCGGAGCCCTCTCTTCTCTAGGCTGAACAACCAGTGCTCCAGCACCCTGATCATCTTCATGGCCCTCCTCTAGACCCACTTGAGCAGGTCTGTATACTCCTTATGTTGGGGGCCCCAGACCTGGACACAGCACTGCAAGGGAGGGCTCATGAGAGCGAAGCAGAGTTGGGGAATCACTTCCCCCAGTCACGCTTCTTTTGATGCAGTGGACACATCTGGTTTTCTGGGCTGCAAGCACACATTGCTGGGTCAGGTTGAGCTTCTCATCGACTAACACCCCCAACTCTTTCTCCGCAGGGCTGCTCTCAATCCACTCATCATCCAGCCTGGATTTGTGCTTGGGATTTCCCTGACCTATGGGCAGGACCTTGCACTCGGCCTTGTTGAACTTCCTGAGGTTTGCCCAGGCCCACCTCCCCAGCCTGTCCAGGTCCCTTGGGATGGCATCCCTTCCCTCCGGCATGTCACCGCACCGTACAGCTCAGTGTCATCGGCAAACCTGCTGAGCGCACACTCAATCCCACTGTCCATGTCACTGACAAAGATGTTAAACAGTGTCAGTCCCAAAACCAACCCCTGAGAAAGGCCACTCATCGCTGCTCTCCGCTTGGACATCGAGCTGTTGACTGCAACGATTTGAGTGCGACCCTCCAGCCAAGAGGCAGAGGGCTCGGTTCAGCACGGTGCTGAGCCCAAACGGGCATCTCAGTGGGTGCTGGGCTTTATGCCAAGGGGCCCGCCCAGCTTGCCCTGGCCATGAAACAGCTCGTGCGTGCTGATCGGTGCACGCCCAGCCCACGCCGCTCTCCGACTGCAGTTTTCCCATAGGAAAATGGGAAGATTAACACGTTCACTTCGCAGGGCCAGCAACAGCCTTCCTAACGCTGCAAGAGTGCTGCGCTAGAGCCGCCAAAGACAGGAAACGCGGCGTGTTACAGATCCACACCCACCACCGGCCTCTGCAAACCATAGATGTGCCGAGGCGTCCCCCGATACCGGCGGTGGCTGAGCAGCCTCGGGGGGCGGCGCTGCCGCCGCTGCCCTCCGCTGAGGGGGTATTTTTGAAATGTAAGCAAATGGGCGAGTGCTTTTAATAATCTAACACCGGTCACTGTGGTTACTTGCAGTTCCCAAGCAATCTGCTAGATGGCATAATGTAATAATAAGAAGAATTATAACGATAATACATGGGTTGGTTTGAATTGATCCAAACTCTAGAAATGATTTGTCAGATAATATAAGCAGGTGTTTACACATTTTACAGCACAAGTACATACTGGTCCCCTTTTACTGAAACCCTGACGAAGGGCCATTCTCTGCAACCCTGGAATTGCTATCCTTTCTGGCAGAAGATATGATACATGACATGAGAAGCTACAGCAACGACACAGAGAGCAACTTTCTCATTATGTCTGTGACTGTACTCGAGCAACCCCAGAAAGAAATTACAAGACAGCTTCTTGTTATTTGGATGCTGCATATAAATAAAGAGCAAAGCATTACTCATACATAATAGCTTGTATTTGCTGCAGGCCCTGCTGCTCTCAGAGCCGGACTAACCAAATCAAAGCGAAGATTATGTTGCAAGAGTGGGACTTCTCCACGGCACGCCCTGGCCGGGAAGGCTGCCGAGGTTTGGGTTCTCGTGGGTGTGGGGACTCCCGGAGCACGGGGCCCCGCGCTGCCCTTGGGATTTTTATCAGTTTCGGAGGTTTCGAGCTGCCGGCTCCCCTCTTCCCCCCCCCACCCCCTCCCCGGCTGCCCTCTCCATCCTCCCCGCCGCTGCCGCCGGCGGCTGCAGGAGAGCGCTGCGGCACCCTCCCTCCGTCCGTGGCCGTGGGACGGCCCTCGCGTGAGCACCCGGGGCGTGGGGAGCGAACCGGGAGGCAGGAGGGGCGGAGCGGGGGGGCGCGGCGCCCCGCTCCCCCCGCGCCCACGGTCGCGGCGGCAGCGGCCGGTTGCCACCCCCGCTGGGGACCGCGCCCCGCGGGGCCCCTCGGCGGGCCGGGGCCGGGCGGGGAGGGGAAGCGGGGGCCGCCCGGCGGGGCTGGCACCGCCCCGTGCCCGCCCCCCCTGCCCGCCCCACGGCGCGGCGGGGCCGGGGCCGGGGCCGGGGCGCCGCGGAGCAGAGCGGCGGCGGCGGGCGGGCGGCGAGCAGCGAGCCGCCGGCTCGGCGGGCCGCGGGCAGCGGGCGCTCCGCCCTCGGTGCGCGGGGCCTCCCCTCTCCGCGCCCGCGGAGCGCCCGCCTATATCTACGGCGGCGGCGGCCCGCCGCCCGCAAGGATGTGAGGCGGGCGGGCAGCCCAGCCGCCGCCGCCGCCGCCGCCGCCGCCGCCGCCGTGGCATGCCCCTCCGCGCCCGGAGCCGTCGGCGCGGCGCCTAGCCGCGGCTCCGCGGGGCGATGCTGCCCTGGAAGCGGAGCAAGGTGGAGCTGGTGGCGGGCGAGGCGCGGCGGCAGAGCAAGCCCAAGGGGTACGCGGTGAGTGTGCACTACTCGGCGCTCACCTCGCTGGCCCGCGCCTGCCCCGAGAGCGCCCTGCACCGCGTGGGCAGCATGTTCCGCTCCAAGCGGCGGAAATTCCGCGTGACCAGCGAGGACCCCACGTACACCGTGCTCTACCTGGGCAACGCCACCACCATCCAGTCCAAGGGCGAGGGCTGCACCGACCTGGCCGTCTGCAAGATCTGGAGCAAGAGTGAGGCGGGCCGGCAAGGCACCAAGATGAAGCTGACCATCAGCGCGCAGGGCATCCGCATGGCCCACGCCGAGGACAAGGGGCTGCGCCGGCCCGGCCACCTCTACCTGCTGCACCGGGTCACCTACTGCGTGGCCGACCCACGCCTGCCCCGCGTCTTCGCCTGGATCTACCGCCACGAGCTGAAGCACAAGGCGGTGATGCTGCGCTGCCACGCCGTGCTGGTCTCCAAGCCCGAGAAGGCGAAGGCCATGGCCCTGCTGCTCTACCAGACCTCGGCCACGGCGCTGGCCGAGTTCCGCCGGCTGAAGAAGCGGGACGACGCGCGGCACCAGCAGCAGCAGCTGGTGGGCGAGCAGAGCATCCCGCTGGTGCCGCTGCGCAAGCTGCTCAACGGGCAGTGCTGCTACAAGCCGCCGGTGGAGCGGAGCCGCAGCGCGCCCAAGCTGGGCTCCATCACGGAGGACCTGCTGGGCGAGGAGCAGGAGGAGCGCGCCATGCACTGCGACTGCGAGGACATCCTGGAGGCGCTGGGCGAGCCCGAGGGCGAGCTGCTGCGCACCGGCGCCGGCCGCGGCGAGGGCCCGGAGCTGGGCCAGCTCCTCCGCGACCTGGGCGAGCTCAGCCTGGGCAACGACTTGTGCTCGCTCCGCGCCGACCTCCGTGTCCGCCGGCTGCTCTCCGGCGAGAGCACGGGCAGCGAGTCCTCCCTGGAGAGCAACGGCCCGGACGGCGCCGGCCCGCCCTGCAACGGCGCCGAGCAGCCGCCCCCCGGCGACCCCGAGAGCGGCTGAGCGCCGGGGGTGCGCGGGGCGCGCCGGGTCCCCTCCGGGCTCTCCGGGGGTGCACGGCTCAGCCGGGGCGCCCCCCGCTCCCTTTTCGGCCCCGCCGAGGCTGCACGGCCCCCCCGGGAGCGCAGCGGGCCCCCGCCGCCCCGGCCCCCTGCGCCGCCCCCGCGTCCCGGGCAGCGGCCGCGGGAGCCGGGCCCCAGCCCGCCGTGGCCTGCGGAGGGGAGGCGGCCGCGGGCTGTTTACCTCCGGCTCAGCCCTTGAAGATCTGCCAAATTCCTGGAATAGCTTTCCCCGGGGAGGGCGGCGGGAGGGAGGTGTTGCGCCTTGTTTACAGTCAGAAATCTCACATCCGAAAGGGCCCCCCCCACCGTTTTCTCCATTAAAGTCACTCCATCGTGCTGTCGTGTCCGAGAGGTTTGCACTGTTGTGAATTTTTTTTTTTTTTAATTATTAAGTTAGACTCTTTTTTTTTTTTTTTGGGCCCCGGTCCTGTCCCCGGTCTCAATGCTCTAGATCTTTTGCTGTGCAAAAGAAGACTCTACTCGTGGCTGTTCACCTGTACATAGGGAAATGTATGCAAATACATTTTGTTATTTTTAAGAACACCACCATTGCGATCTCCTCTGTTTGCACATAAGTGAAGAAAATAAAAATGACAGTAATTTAAAAGAAACTGGGGTCACTGTCGCAATTCGGCCTCTCTGTGTGTGTTCCTTGGATGGAGAAGGGGGGGGGGGAGGGGAAGAAATCCATTGGGATATGTTGTAGCTGCAAGGGGCCACCGCACAGAAAGGCCCTTGCAAGCACCGAGCGAGATTCCTGAGCCAGCTGGAAATCTTACACCGGGGAGATGCACCAGGTGATTAAGGTGTCTTACAAGACACAGGGATGAGGTTTTTCTCTCTGCTGTCACTAACAATGGGCAGGAATGTGCGAGAAGCCTCCTTGGGACTCCCGGCTGGATCCTTGTGTCGAGAAACTGAACCGTTCAGCTCCGAAGCTGCCGTGGGGCTCGCTGACCCTTGCGTGGCAGCGCGCTCGTGGGTGCTGGCAGCGCCGCGCAGCCCCCCCGGGGTTTGCATTCAGGTGCCGCCGCTGCAGCTGGTCCCTTGCCACTCGCAGCACCAGCCCAAGCCAATTTCATAACCTCGCACAGGGCAAGCAGCGAAGTTGATTAGCCGTGGGACTGCCGTGGTATTTTTAGCTGTAAATCTGTTTGTAAGTGGCAGGCTCCCAGGGCGGTAGAGATGTTCCGGTTTCATTTGTCCCCAAGTGGAGGTATCAATTAAGAGATAATTAATCTGGCATTTCTGATGTCTAAATGTTTTCCACTGTGCCTGTGCTGCAATCGGGCGAGTTGCGGGAATGTCAACGAAAAGCCCAACCAGCTGCTGGGGCCAGGCTGCACTCCTTGTTCAAGGAGCCAGCCTCCGAAGAACTTGTAAATACCCCATTAACACAGATTGCAAAATCTGCCACCGCACTGGCAAGAAGCTTTTACCATTGCCTCAGCGTGAGTCAGTCTGAGGAGGAAGGCAGGCTGGGGTGGTTTGCATGGGAAGGGGTAATGGTAAGAGGGAGCAGCTCCCCTCAGAACGGGCACCTTCTTGCCCAGGTCACACGCAGCCCATGATGGGCAGTGAGATGCAGGAGGTGACAGTGGCCACGCTCAGGCTGGCACTGCTGAGACACACCTCGCAAAACAAAAACTCTTGCTGCTCTTTCTCAGGCAAAGCTCCCTTTGCCTTTCCCAGGGAGAGAAGGGGCAGGTGATGAGGGGTGGAAATGAAACACCAGGGAAAGCTTATCCTGCAGTGCTTTCCCCAGGGTGGGGGCTGCAAGGCTGCCTTGCCCGCAGCGGGGGACCCCCAGTGCCCTGGAGATCACGACTGTGCGAGGTCTGTGCCCAGGGCCCTGTCACTGCCTGTCGCTCCCCGGGGGGAGGGAGCCGGTCGCGCTGGGAGCAGGGCAGCGGTACAGCACCCGAGAGCAGGGCACCCCGGGGATTCACAGGCTGGTTTGAGCTAACCCCAGCTGCTGAATGGCTGGGCAGTGTTAGCTTTACATCCTCTGTGTATGCTTAAAGGCGGTTAACGGCATCAGCTTAGTCAATGCCTTTCCTCTCTCCAGAAGAGCCATCATGTCTACAACGGTAAGGACATGGCTTTATCACATGCTGGAGCTGAAAGCACAATTCTCTGAGCAGCACCAGCAGCAGCCAGAGCCCGAAGCATTTCCCCTTGAAGTAGCAGGGTTACTGTGCAGTTTCCTTAGAGGCCCGTACAGATCATTAGCTATAAATGTAGGGTTCAAATCCCTTTGTGTCTGAGATATTTTGGTACTAGCACCACTGAAAAAAAAAAATCATACAGTTGTCTGCAGTGCTAGTGCAAGGTTATTTATGTATGCTTAACTGGTGTGCCCTCCCCATAGCAGCATACATGGGCCTGCAAACGAGAACAAGTGCGTGTGAGAAGAAAAAGGTCATTATATTTTCCGCACAGCAAGTTTGAAGGAACATCTCCCTAGGATGAGCAGAGGAGGAGAAAGTGAGACCTCCTCCGCAATAAGTTCGAGTACAGGGCTGAGCTGCTAATGATTTCCCTTTGAAACGAGTAGCTTCTCGCCAAGCTGAAAACCTTACTGCTGGCTGGTGGGGAGGCAGCCCGGGAGAAGCGCAGGGCTTTGGGAAAGGCCTCTGTGGGACAGGCAGGCTCTGCCGACTGCTGTGAGGCCATTCCTGTCCCAGGCACCGCTCCCCTCCGCAGAGGACAAACTGTTCTGTGGTCTCTGCTGAGCGTTGGGGCTGACACCAGCCCCTGTGCCAGGGCTGCTCCCCACAGGCAAGGTGCAGCGTCCCACCGAGCACAGCACGGCTCCTGCTCAGGCTGTCGGCAGAGGCACGCGTTCCCCCGCTCCATCCGACAGCACTAACTCAGCTCTACCAGCTGGGGATGGTGAATCAGCCCCTGATGCAGCCGAGGCAAGTGGGCTGCACAAAGAGCAGCGCAGCCTCTGAAACTGCTCCCCACCAGCCAGCAGCCCCATCCCACCGCTGCCCTCACAGGGACAGGCCTGCAAAGGGAGAGCAGAGGCAGCCTGATTGCTCTACCAGTAGGTTTGGACCGTGTGGGGAGAAGTCAAATATGGGAGCAGATGTTTGCAGAATTACAAGTCAAGCATTGCTATCTGCCGCTGATGCAAATCACTGCCCTGCTCACCGACACATCAGCCGAGGCTCGGTGAGCCATGCTCCTGCCGGGGCTCAGGCAGCCCTTGGAGGTTTCCAGCACGTCAAGGTGGAGCGCTGAGCTCCACACAGCTCTGACCTAGCAGACAGCATGTGATAAATTGGCCAGAAAATACCCATAACAAACAATACAACACCAGAAAAGGCAATGATCCTGCTCTACAGGCTTCAGCTGCTGGTCTGAATCCTGCACATGGGGCTGATGCTTTGACAAGTCAGCTTCAGTACTGCGCCAGGTGCCTGAGATTTCCAGAGTGTTATGGCTAAACAGAGCATGTGATTATACCAGGCAACAACCATGATTCCCAGAATGTGATGAGATTAAGGGAAAAAGAGCACTTGTTGCTAATATTATTTGTAGGCTTTGTATATTTGCTGGTGCACTCCAGACTTACTCCTGCACATAGGTAATGAGGCTGAGGGGGGCCACAAAAATGTGGAAGTGTTTCCAGGATCCTATGTGCAGCTTGTTTTTATCTGCCCTTAGTGTGCCCTTCTCTCATCCTTAGGTCTTCCTCATGCACAACAGGAAATAATATCATCCACAACCAGAAAAATTAGCCAGTGGTCAAGTGGAGTGAGCCAGGTCACAAAATTACTTTTAGCCCAGACTACAGTACTGATTTAGATCCAGAATTATTTGCAATTCAGTTTGGTGATGTGCCCTGCAAGAGGCACATCCAGTTTGCCTGGCCAGGGGCAATGCTGCAAGAACTGCTGGCTGAGGGGCTGCTTTGGACTCCTGCTTTTTGGGGTCTCTAGGCAATACCCAGTTTCGAGTACAGCTTCAGCCCCTGGGGCGGCTCTGAGTCACCTTCAGCACACTCACTGCAACTTTCATGGGGAGGCAGGAAGGCACCAGGATTTCCTCCTCAGCGGTGTGTTGGAGAAGAGCAGCAGAGCTGTCCCAGTGCTATTAGTCATCCCCGAGACACCACAACTGTCCCACTGCCCAATTCTTGGCCATCACACCAAACGCCCCCATTACCTAGTGGGGAAACCCCCCCAAACCTCAGCCTGCAGAGGCAGCACAGGGCAGGTCTCCTACCTTCAAACCATCCAAGGGGGTGTGGGTCACAGCACTGCACAGCCCCTGGTTTTCTTGGGTAAGGGTGCCCAGGGTCCCATCAGTGCCAGAAAAAACCTGCAGTGCTGCAAGCGGCGTGCAGCTCCAGCCGGCTGTGCCTTACCTCCCGCTTCTCCTGGAGCTGGGCAGAAAAAAAATTCCCTGCATTTCCAAGGCCAGCAGCAGCCCCAGCTCCCGCAGAGCTCATGTGCCGTGAAGGCGGCTCCCCCTCCTTACCCCAGCCGCTGGTAGCAGCGGGGGCTGTTTTCCCCAGCAGCTGGAGGGAGATGATGTGCGGGGACAAGAATGCGAGGGCAGGCAGCCAGGGCAGGGCATGGACAGCGTGGGGTCCCAGGGGCCAGGCCAGGTCGGTTCATCTGCGGGGCTCTTCGGATGAACCGACCCGGCCTGGCCTCTGGGGTTTTGCTTCTCCCCACAGCTCCATCACCCGCCCCAGGCAAGGTGACACCTCCAGCTTGCTGGCTGGTGGTTCACAGGGAGCTGCATCTTGATTAATGCCCTGCAAGGTGCATGAGCTTTGGGGGTGGAATTTGCTGCGGTGTGAAATCAAAGCTATGCATTCAAAAAACCATGACGTTCCCCCTCGCCCGTGGGGGCTCTGCACGGCGGGAGGGGTGAGTACTATGAAAACACTCGGAGAAACAGTTATGTAATGAAGGACGTGGGCCTCGGCTTGACATGGCGGCTCTGCAAGGAGCTGAGCTCCAGACTGCAGCTGCCCAGCACCCTTCAGGATCTGGCCATGGTCACTGTGCTCCGTGCTGCTGCTGAGAGGTGGAGGTGGGAGAAAGACTGCAAAACGCCTTTTTGCAAGCTGGGAGATGCTCTGTATGCTCAGCCTTGGTAAGCCAGAGCTGAGCTCCCACCTGTGGGCTTAAACCAAGCCTTGCTGGTGGCGAGAGCTGGGAAAGGTCTGGGATGGGATAGCCCAGGACTGCTGAAGGGCAGAGGGAGGCTGCTTGCTGTAGGCATCTGGGATTTCATGCTACTGCCCTTCAGCTCTGTCACAGGTGTCCCAGATCCGGTGGTGGCAGATCATGGTACACATCATCTGTCCCCATGCCCCAAACATGTCCTCAGCTCTGTGGGAAGGACATGAGTTCTCCCCTGGAGAACTGGCCCCAGCAAAGGGCTGTGCCTATAGAGCTCCTCCCATGCTCTTCTGATCTGAAATGGGGGGCAGCGGGGCAGCCTGCCTCCTGCAGCTGGTCCTGCTGCCACTCTGCGTAGAGGGGTGACACTCTTGGCATCACTTCTGGATCTAGAAATCCCTGCTGCTCCAGAGTGGGCGTGCTGCAGACCCCAGGGAATGCAAGGAAAAGGCTCTGGGATGGGA